ATTTTTATTACTATTATTATTATTAAAGTGAGTATTGAAAATTTTAAAATCACACTAACGTGCAGATAAACATTTCTCATTTAAATATATTCATTATTATAAGTGCATTTGAAATCTTATTGTACTCATTTCATAATGTTATACCAATATTCATTTCTTTAAATGTTATACTCATTTGAATATAACATTAAACTCATTTTTATAACCCATGTATCGTATTCATTGCAAACAATTTCATATAAGTAAATTCATTTACTAAATTATTAGTATATTTAGCAATGAGAAATATAAAAAAATTATTAGAAAAAATAATATAAAATTCTCAATCTTGATTTACAAAGTAGTGTGTTTCTTTTATAATGTTTTACTCGTGTACATTTATTTAAAACATAATACTCATTTTATTATAGCACCTAAACTCATTTCGATAATTCACACTCGATAAAATCATTCCAATTAATACAATGAAAAGAATTAACTATGATTACTGATTTGTTATAGATATACTTTTGAGTGAAATCTTTATAGATGTATAAAATCATTTGCAATGAATACGACATTAACCAACTTTTCTGTGATCATTTTATTATTTTATAATGTTACATTAATACACCTTTCTCACAAGCACTATACTCATAATTGATTTCTTTCAATCTAGATTTATTTTTAGTATTATATTCACTTAAGGATACATAAAACTCATTTACATCATTCAAATACGTAATATAACATTGAGTTAATTATCAAAATAGGACTAAAAGTCATTCACTTTTCACAAATAGGACCAAAAAATAAACTATGTTTGCATAGGACTAATTATGTGTACCTTGAACAATTATACCCTTATAGCTATTAAAATGTTTTAATTCCTAATAAAATAATAAAAAATAATAAAAATTCGTAAAAAATACTAAAAATTAAGAAAAACATTTCGATATTTAAAATTTAATTATTTTTTTTTCAAAAAATTTAAAAAACTAAAAAAAAATTAAAAAAAAAAATAAAAACTCAAAAAAAAAATCGCCGCCGCCTCTGCCGCCTCAGCACCACCACCTCTAGTCACCAGGGGAAAAAAATGCCAAGTTCATTACAAATGCCATATTTATGGCAGAAAAAATGAAAATGTTGGCATTCGAAAAGAGAAATATGCCACTTTTTTGGCATTTTCAGAAAAAAATGGCATTTTTCTGGGAAAATGACATTTTTTTCATCGGCCGGAGGTGGTGGTGCTGGGAGGTAGTACAGGCGGTGGAAAAGGCATCCATATTTTTTTAAAATTTTTTTACGGAGTTTTACTCTTTTTTATTAATGTTTTTAAAAATAAAATTATTTTAAAAAAAAGTTTTTGAATTTTTCATTTTATAAAAATTTTATAAATTTTTTAATTATATTTCTACGAATTTTTGAATTTTTTTCGAATTTATTATGAATTAAACATTTTATTATGCCTTTTGACTATTTTTAATTCATATTTAATGGAAGGATAAGAATGGAATGCAAAAATAGGTATGTTTCCAATAGGACTCATATGGTCCTATTTTGGAATAAAAACATAGCAAGTCCTATTTTAAGTTTTTGTCATAGTTTGAGTCCTATTTGAACTAATTTCTATATAACATTCATTAGAAATTAGTTCAAATAGGACTAAAACTATGGTAAAAACCTAAAATAGGACTTGTTATGTTTTTATTCCAAAATAGGACCATATGAGTCCTATTGGAAACATACCTATTTTTGCATTCCATTCTTACCCTTCCATTAAATATGAATTAAAAATAGTCAAAAGCCATAATTAAATGTTTAATTCATAATAAATTCGAAAAAAAATCAAAAGTTCGTAGAAATATAATTAAAAAATTTATAAAATTTTTACAAAATAAAAAATTCAAAAACTTTTTTGTTAAATAATTTTATTTTTAAACAAATTAATAAAAAATAGTAAAACTCCGTAAAAAAAATTTAAAAAATATGGATGCCTTTCCCACCGCCTGTACTACCTCCCAGCATCACCACCTCCGGCCGATGAAAAAAATGTCATTTTCCCAGAAAAATGCCATTTTTTTCTGAAAATGCCAAAAAAGTGGCATATTTCTCTTTTCGAATGCCAACATTTTCATTTTTTTCTGCCATAAATATGGAATCCGTAATGAACTTGGCATTTTTTCCCCTGGTGACTGGAGGTGGTGGTGCTGAGGCGGCAGAGGCGGCGGCGATTTTTTTTTTTGAGTTATTATTTTTTTTAATTTTTTTAATTTTTTGAAAAAAATAAATAATTAAATTTTTAATATCGAAATGTTTTTCTTAATTTTTTAGTTTTTTTTACGAATTTTTATTAGTTTTTATTATTTTATTAGGAATTAAAACATTTTAATAGCTATAAAGGTATAATTGTCCAAGGTACACATATTTAGTCCTATAAAAACATAGTTTATTTTTTAGTCCTATTTGTGAAAAGTGAATGACTTTTAGTCCTATTTTAATAATTAACTCAACATTCATTATAAACCAAACGAATCTAATCAGCTTTGTTTACTCAATTATCACTTATTTTAGCAATGTGAAATATAATAATTTTAACAAATACTCCCTCCGTCCCGGAAAATTAGTCCCACTTTGACTTGGATCGGAGTTTAAGAAAGTGAGAATAAAGTGGAAATGTATGGTTGTGGTTGAGTAAGAAAAAGGTAAATGAATGTTAGTCACACAAAACTTTCCAAAAAGGGAAATGGGAACAATTTTTTGGGACGGCCCAAAAAGGAAAATGAGACTTATTTTATGGGACGGAGGGAGTAACAATTATTAACCATTTTTAATTTTAGACTATTGATTTTAAAACTATATTAATACCATTTATTTTTTAATAATATTTTCATAATTATTTAGAAGATTGGAGCTTTTAATACAAGATGGTGAGAAGTAGATGTTTTGATTAAATTTTCATTCAATATGAATTTTTGAAATAATTAGCATCAAATAAAGAAAAGGTTAGTAGACGTAAAAGGCTAACTAATGAGAAGTGGGGAAAAAATTATACGGAGTATAAACAATAAAGGAAAATAAAAAAAGAAAAAAGAAAAAATGAAGAGCAAGTCACGTGAAGTAGAAAAGAAAACGAGAAAAAATAAACGTATAGAAATTACTCTATATAGGAGTAAAAACGTTTTGAAATTTCAAGATAAGAATATCATGTTTTTTATTCCCGAAATAGGAGTAATCTGTCAAGTTTGGGAAAAAATGACATGTTTTAAAGCCTAGTAATGTCAAACTTGGCAAAAATTTACTCCTATTCAAGTAATAAAAAACATAATACTCCTATTTTGGAATTTCAAAACCTTTTTACTCCTATTTAGGGAATTCACCCATAAACATATATCCAAATTACTGCCCTTAATGTTGCAAACTATTACAAAAAGAGAGAATTCCCTGAATAGAAGTAATTTTCTGCCAAGTTTGGCATTACTAGGCTTTAAAACATGACATTTTCCCCAAACTTGGCAGATTACTCCTGTTCAGGGAATAAAAAACAAGATACTCCTATTTTGGAATTTCAAAATGTTTTTGCTCCTATTTAGAGCAATTTCTATTACAAGAATCTAGGGATAAATCCGGATCGGCCCGGTTTTGATTCAAGGCTGAGACCACCCAGTCAAAGAAAAGTTCCCAAGACCGAGGTACAGATCGCTTTTTTAAGAGTACCTGTTCCGAATACCCGACAGGTCTGGTTTCGATCACAGAGCCGATTCCCGTTTTATTTTTTTAGCTTTTTGGATGACCAAAGCTTAAAAAACCTGGAGGGACTGAAATCGCCCGGTTCAGTCCCCAAACCGGGAACCGGTACCGTGAACCGCTATAGCGGGACCGGTCTGGTCACAGGCCCAGAATTGATCAAAACGGTGCCGGTCTAGGCCGAACAATTCAGGATCGGGCCGTACTTCCGAACCAGGTTCACACCTACAAAAAAACTAATGTATCATGAACAATGTACACCCAGTTGTATGATGTAATTTGGGAAGAGGGGTAGCACAATCTGCTCCCAAACTTAAGGGTATGATCAGTTGGATAACCCATTAAAAATTTAGAAACCAAACGATCAGACGGTTAGAGACTCAAAGCCAAATAATTTGAGACATTGTTCTAAAAATCACTCTAGGAGTCCGACTAGTCCCCGTCTAGGCACTTGGCGGTGGCCGGGCGTCCCGATTTTAGGCTAGGCGCTCCGACTAGTCGATTTGATGTATAAGTGAACTAGTCGACCGCTTAGGGTGCCTAGTTGCCCTCCCAGAGCGCTTAATCGATCACCTAGACGTCGATATTCATCGAACATTTTGTTTTGCTTTTTATTTTAGTATTTTAAGTGACAAATGCGACTTTAACTTTAGCAATGCATATGAAGAAAGCTACTAGTTGTAGATTAAGATAAAAACTTTTCATGTTTATATATAATCGTAAGTGTTATTATTATTTACTAATATTTATTACATAATGAAGTTAAGTGAGTAAGTATAATATATTATTAAATGTGACAACTCTATCATTCATGTATCTTAATGTGTATGTTTGTGTATACGATAGTATATTTTATGTATGTATACATACAATTTATGTACACACATAAGCAAAACATTACTAATCATATTTATGAAAAATATATATAGATAAAACTATAATTTCTGTCTCCGACTAGGCGTCCGTCTAGCCGCTAGGTGCTATACTGACGCCCGACTAACGCCTTTTAGAACCTTGATATGAGCTTATATGTTTCTAATCTTAGGCTATGTTTGATTTGACAAGCTGAAAAGATTTTTTTAATCTTAACTTGGCAGTTGGGTGAATAATTTAACTCAAACCTAGTCCATTTAATGCTTCGTATCAACAAAATTAAAACCTCACCCAAACAGGACAAACCTGGAACTTATAACCTAAACAAAAGGAAAATGGCTTGAACAGTTGAACATATTGTATTCTACCCGTATACTTGAACTTATGCATCTGACTTTATCATTTTGTTTGTCAATTTTGAATTTGTTGATGATTTATCGGCTTTCATTTTGTTGGGAAGAACAAAAGTATCTCATTGTCCAAGTTATTTGGACTACTTGTTGATATGTTTGGTTAGTTCGTAAACAGATTTAACATGTATAAATTGCAAAACCGAAACTGCTAAAGCCCGGCCCAGACCAATAGTAGTGACGTTTATTTACAGAACCTTGTTCTGAAATACGAAGTATTGTGGAAAGTTTCAAGTTCTTAAAAACCTGAGTCGGACCAAACCCCTTCCACCACCCAAGACTTCCATTGATGTACTATCACCATCTCCTGCAAGCATTTACCTCTTTCGCCTAGCAACCTTGGATCTATAACACCATGTTTCAAAGGCCTCGGAAAGGTCTGGATACGTTGGTTTTCTCCACCACTCTGTCAAGATCTCTGCTTGATCAGCAGAGGGCAATGTAAGTATCAATGAAACAAATACTGACTCCAATAACATCCACATCTCATCATCAATTATACGGATCTCATTGTAACTCAACGTGTCAATCAAAGATCTCATTTCCCTGACAAATGGAAGCCAAACCTTTGTCATGTGAAGCCGTTCCGTTGCAGGCAGAACGACCTTTCCATATGCTATGGCATCTAACACCATTGCTGCCACATCAAGAACCATCACTCTTATCAAAATGGTCTCCTTTTCTATGCTCAACTTCTGTACCACTTTTAATATTTTGAACGATATCTGCATCCATCTGTGAACAAAATCTCTCAAAATCTCCATCTTTGATAATATCTGAAACGCCCAGGACAAATCTGATAAACACCATTTAAATGATACTAGCATTTTGCTGTCCTCAGAATCACACTGTAAAGATTCTACTAGTTCGCTTAACCTATCGTGGAGTCTCTTAATGCATTGCACCACTTCTAGTTTGATCTCATTATTATCAGCTGTTAATAGAGGGCCATTGTTGTCTTTAGTCAACATGTCATCGAGCTGTTCTTGAGCTGTTCTTTTTATATCATTCAAAGAATCTGGAGGTGAGGAGGTGGCGAATTGCATTGCTGAGAGAAATAGTTTTATCATCACAGAGGGAATGACAGGTTGTACACGGGCAAGTACAGGTCCCACTTCAGGTCCCATGTTTGGAATTACTTTTAGGATATCCTCTTCCTCATCTTCCTCCCATGGGACAGCTTCCAGATATTCTGCACATGCAGTAACAACTTCCGGGCAGCCGAGCTTGAAGGCTGCCTGTAAAATGTCGAGGGCAGTCCTAACATCATGGAAAAAATCAGCATTCACCGAAGAATCTGAACTGAGATACAAGAGACGAAGGATGTGGAGTGTGTGGTCGAAGTCATTTTCTTCACAGTGAACCTCAACACAGTTGCGGGAGTCAAGAATTTGACACTCAGGCCAGGTGTCAGATAACCGTTCAGCAAAATACTTGCTTTGTCGGACAAGGATGTGAGAATGGCAATAAACCCGGTGATCACGATCCTGTGTTCTAAGCCTTACCACAACATCACTGGTTAGGCGGTCATCGATCCTGCTTGATGCTTTTGATTCATTTGGCTGATGAAAAGTTAAGAAAGCAGGCCGTGTGATTTTTCAGGAAACAAATCTAATTGGCTTCAAAATTTCAAATCATAATACGTTTTGCATTACTAATTGATAGAAAACTATTAACAAGTACTACGTATAAAAGAGTGTTTCCACAAACAAAGATGAATAAATGTGAAGCTAAGAGCTTGTTTGGTGGGGGGTGGGGTGAGACTCAATGAATTGACTGAATTATGTTAAAATCTAATTCCAAACAATTCTTTGGATAAATTAAATGAAATAATAGCTGAAATAATAGTCGTTTCTCCAAAATAATAACTTCATTCGAGGAACCAGTGGCACAAAAGAAGTTTAACATATGCAAGGACTGAATTTCGGAATCGTTAATGGTACATTAGAAACCCGAAAAATCATAGGAAGAGACAATAGAGAGAAAATTGTAGAACAAATTCGGAAGGAAAGAAAATGTTGAGGAAAATAAAGTATTGGTTCAAACTCAATAATGCTTTTTATTTGTTCAAATTCATTTCATAAATTGATTTCTATCATATTAATAATAAAGAAATTTAAACAGGTGAAAGTTTATAGGCTTTATAGCAATTAAATGTATCTCGTATTCCATTGCATTTTCTGTCTGAGGTAAAACCAAACACAAGAAAATAACTTTCCTTGCGGTACCACTTTCCAGGATCCAAAAATAGCTTAAAGAGGTCAAGAAACTCACATGAGAATCCATCAAGCAAACAAAAAGACTGTTTCAGCTTCTATTTATTGCTTCACCTATAAGAGATAAGGAATATAAATTGTTGCTTGTAAATAAGAAAAAACAAAAAACACACAATTACAAAACCGACCAAATAGAGAAAATGCAGCATCACGTAGCTTGACTCTGTTTTTTACATCGGTCAAACCGAGTCTGCACTATGCTTCTACTTAAGTATGTAGAGTTGTAGAGTAAGCCAATAACACACCCCAAAAAAGTTTACGCATTGGTCATAGGTGTGCCAAGAATGATGTGACAATAATTTTCAACCATTTACTATGCAAACATACTTGGTTGTCATAAAAATGAGCTGTGACAATAATTCCAATGACCAAATGTTCTAAAAGTTATGCCCAGGTGACTGAGTCATACATATTTCAAAAACCTTGAACTCTGATCTATATAGGAAGTTTCAATGTGATCTGTAAAGGATACTTGACAAACAAAATATTTGAGATTATACTCGCATTCCTAAAACTATTTCTGCAATGTTGAGGTTATTCCTGAATTCATAGTGGAAACAATGGAGTCAGTACAACAGCATCCGCCCCAAGGGAGAGTATCTTCTGGTTACGCGAGATGAGAAAACAGACATTTGCTAATAACTACGCATCTCAAAGGGGACTTAGGGGAGTGATAAGAGCTCTAGCCTTAATGGAAGCAGCTTACAACTAATGGATTGCTTGAAACACAGAAGATGATAGGGAAAGATAATACAGATGCAGTTATATAAGTGATTTGGAAATAGTGAACATGTTTTTAAAGAAAATAAAACATTGTTTTAGACTCAATAACTTTATTTTTTATATTTTCTTATATTCGATATTAAGTGTTTATTTCTACTGTACACATATTAATCATTCCAAACAAATGTAAGAGCTTTTTAAAACAGACATCATATATATGAATAATGAAGAAGCATATATATGCATCTACACAGTAAACACGATGAACTGGTGGGGTAGATTTTTTTTGTGAATCATACTGCCGTCCCTGAATTGATCGCTGAATCATTGCTGTAAGAAAAGATCGTTACTGAAACATTGATTACAATTCCAAGAATCAAAGTCACACATAACTGAAGAACCAATGGCTCTTTCTGGACCTAAAAACAACATGACCACCATAAGGATAACCAGAAACAGATAGAGGGACAGAGTACTACAGAAAGGTCATCTTGTTTTATATCATTTCCTCCAATTCTACTGAATATTACGTTGTAACATATAACTAAGACTCAAATCATAATCAATCTCTTCAGGTGAAATTCTTAATTACTTCACTCAACTTTTAGGGGCAAGCAATACTTCTATATCCTGGCAATAATATACTATCGTAAATCACTGTAACGGAAAGTACAGCAAAAAACGTTTACCTACATTGGAGAGAACTCTGGCCTGACATTAAAAACTGATACCACTAGATTTAGGTTTAACAACAGCTGCTGCTGCTACATTAATCGTTTGTATTGAAAATTTAAACGTTTTGGAGTGTTTTGAAGCACATTTAAGTTCTTCAACTGCCGTGGAGGAGGACCTGCAAATCAAGCAAGGTGGATAGCAATTACTAACCGCTTCAGTTAGGGTGAATCTAAGAAGATAAAAACGAAAAAATAGTAATGAATTGGTACAAATTTGAGAATGGTAAGAGACTTATGGGAAGAAGAGGAGCCAGAATTAGGAAAATTCTTTCTCCAATCCCGAGCAACTTACATATATCGAAGACTTATCACGCCTTCTTGAATTTCACAGCTGTTGCAGAGGAGGACGGCTGGACCAGCAAACGAAGGAAGTTAGGGAGCAATTATTAACCGCTTCAGTTATGATTGGACAAGGAAGGTAGAAAAGGAAGGTAGACGTTAGTTAAAGTTGTTAGTATAGAACGACGTGGTTAATGTGCACTGAGAGATCCTTCTTTCCAGTCCGTCCACCTTACAAGAGGCTTAATGTGAACGACACGGGCAACCGGTGACATTTTTATAATATAATGTGGTAATCGCGGTTTTTTCTAACATCTTATTTCAAATAGAGTAATTTTTTTCTTTTTTCTCAAATAACGCAAAACAGAGTTCACAGGTCCGAAAATTTGTTCTGCAGGTATGTCAGCCACTTTCAGATTTCACTCCTCCGAATTCATTTATTTTTTTTTTAATTTTTTTTGTCTTCTTATAGAATAGCCGTACACCTTACACCCATTATTGGAAATGAGCTTGTATTTGTTTGCCTTTCCTACATGCTCAATTGTGGTTGTTATTTGTTTGTTTTGATGGCTTAGATTTTTTATTTTGAAGAAATTGTTTGTGTTTGTTAGAAATTACAAGTTATTCAACATAGGTAAAAATTGTACAATATTGTCATTAAAATAAAATAGGCATTTCACACCCCCGAATTTCGCTCATGAATACGCGTTTTACAAAAAAATGACCCATTCAGTTAAATAAGCACACGTTTTACAAAATTGACCCATTAAATCATTTGAACAAAAATATTGAAAAAGTTCTTACAATTACATTAACAAAATAATCTTTTTAACCCAAATAATAAAAACCTACCCATTAAATAATGTGAACCCGAAAAATAACAAAGTACATTAATTAAAAGTCTCAATATATTTAATCAATGTGACGAGTTTTAAAAAGAGTTGACTCATTCGGCGTTATTAACTCGAAAATAATTACAGATACAATTTACAATATCACGCATATAAAAATAAGTGACACAGGTCATATGAATTCTAAATTAAACAAAGTTCTTAACATATTAAAGGTACATTTAACACATATGGGTAATAAAAGTGTTACAACATTAAAACAAACTACACTATAATAGAGTACAAATACGAGTCAATCATGTTGTGCTCTGCGTCTTGAACGCATATCCATCTCATTTGGAAATCTTGTTTCTTGACGGTGTCCTACTCGAGAAGTTCTGGAAGAGTATTTAGGCGGCAGAAGAATGAACTCATCCATCTCATGGACGCATGGCATGCCGTTCATCCTCCAACAACCGCACTCACAGACGAGCCTCGATAGATTCACCGTAATAGGTGTTGCATTTTCTACGGCGACTGGGTAAATTCCTGTGTAGTGGTTGTGTGGAAGAACCATAATGTGAGGTCTTTGGTGCCAACGCTCCATTATCTCTTTCCGAATGTTGTCCGGAAAATGATATCCAGCTTGCTGCCACATCATACCAGCACTACGACGTTGGACGAAGAGCTGGACTAGTTTGTCAAAAGTTGCTCGTACAAGGGTTGTGATTGGCAATGTCCTACATCCTTTGAGAGCATTGTTGAAACTTTCCGAAAGATTTGTTGTCAAAATACCATAACGACAACCACCATCAAAACAAAGTGCCCTCTTTTCTTGGAGAATGTCATTTAAATACTTGAATGCTCTCTCGTTAGTACCCCAAATTTGTTGCATGAAATGGTTAAATTCACTTACAATCGGGGTACTTCCCGCTCGCCAATACAGCTTCTTTAGTTGTTTACTTCTAAATCGGGACATGAAGTCGCTTTTAATGTGGCGAAGACAATAACGTCTCTGAAATCGAGGTGTTCCCAATTCTTCCACATTATTGAGGTGGTTGGAAATAATGGTGTTAGTTGCGGAATGGGTGAGTATCTATTCAGATATATTTTATCTAACCGGGAATATTTTTATCTGATAAAGTACTTTTTTTATCTAACCAGAGACATTATTGAGGTGGTTGGAAATAATGGTGTTAGTTGCGGAGTGAGTGAGTATCTATTCAGAGATATTTTATCTGATCGGGAATATTTTTATCTGATAAAGTACTTTTTTTTATCTGACCAGAGACATTATTGAGGTGGTTGGAAACAATGGTGTTAGTTGCGGAGTGGGTGAGTATCTATTCAGAGATATTTTATCTGACCGGGAATATTTTTATCTTATAAAGTATTTTTTTTATCAGACAAGAGACATTATTAAGGCTGTTGGAAATAATGATGTTAGTTGCGAAGTGGGTGGTTATCTATTCAGAGATATTTTATCTGATCGAGAATATTTTTATCTGATAAAGTATTTTTTTTATCTGACCAAAGACATTATTGAGGTGGTTGGAAATAATGATGTTAGTTGCGGAGTGGGTAAGTATCTATTCAGATATATTTTATTTGACGAGAATATTTTTATTTGATAAAGTAATTTTTTCATCTCACGGACATTATTGCAGTGGTTTGATTTGAATGCACCGTTTATTTCTCATTTATGTTGTAATATGGAGAGTGGATTTGTATTTGCTTAAAGCTGCAACCCTCGTTTCGAGCCTGACAACTCCGAATTTGATTAAAGTTCTGACAGAGATGTTTTCGAATACATGGTTCAATTCTAGATTCGGAGTGTCCTACTCCGTTTTACCTTTTTTTGTCAAAAAAAACACATCAACGTGATTCGGAAACACCTGCTACAATTTTACTCAATTTCGTCATTTACTCTAGGTTTATGGTTATCGCAAACATGTACAGCTACACAACTTATCTATTCACTATGCTTTTGTTCTCCACTTAATTGGCCTCACCAAACACCATAAGCACATCCTCATCCATTAGATTATTTAAGGTTTAATTGGATGATGTGTAAAATTAATTTAAAGATTATCATTGTGAGTGAGAGATTATTGAAAAAGAAAATCTGGTATCAGGATTTGAATCCCATATTATTTTAAATTGTAGTTAAATTGCATTTAATACATGATTTAGAAAAACTAATTATTTGATTATTATAGTTAATGAAGAGTTTTAAGATTTGAGATTATTTAAAATTTATTAAATAAATTTGATGCATCAATGATGTGTAATAGAAAAACCATTTATTTTAAGATCATCATGAATGGAGATACTCTAAAAAACAAATCAAAGCAAAGCTACACGAGCAAGTAAACATTCTCATAGCTAACAGTGTGTCCTTTTTTTGTTAAGTAAAAATTCAAGAAATAGGTGTAAAAAATTTTGAAATTTTCAAAATAGGATTTTATGTTTTACTGTCAAGTTTGAAAATACCGTCTTGTTTAAAGTCTGATACCATCAAAATATGACGGTAATTAGTCATATTTAGGAAATAAATACACGATAGTCCTATTTTGAAATATATAAACGTTTTAATTCCTATTTAGGGCAATTTACGGTAATTTTCCTTTTGTTAATGGAACCTCAAAATCCAAAGAGATCTTTCATACTAGCTGTGATTGTAAATTTGTAATAGTAGAGCATATTCTAGTAGCATATGTTTGGTTTATCGCTCCTAGTCGTACGGTACAAAATCTTACCGGACCGGAGCGGAATCGGAACCGGATTTAAAAGAAAAAATAGAAACTGAAAAGTGAATCAGATATATTGAGCCCGTTTGGTAGCACGAAAATCGGTTGTTTTGGGTGATTCTGCTGAAAATTATGAAGTTTTTGGTGAAGTGGCTGCATTGGCTGATTTTGCTGATACAAAAAAAAATATTTTTAAAATATATTTTTGATGGATAGTCTACCCGGGGGTATATATCCGAAGGGTTATTACAGGGAATAACTTAGAGAGAAGTCAGAGCAAGTAAGTAAAAGTAGAGAGAGAAAATGTATTATAAATGCGGAGTGTTTTCAGTGTGTTATGACTTGGTTACAAATGGGGAAATGGGGTGCTATTTATAGTAGCAATAAATGCCGGGCAGGGACACGTGTCAAGCGCTCATTGGCCGAGGGGTCACCTCAACTGGTTGGCGCTGGCAACCGCATGTGGCCGCATTTAATGCGGCTGTTGGATGGGACGTCTGTGCAGGGTACGGTGATCTGCACGCATGTGAGGCGGATATCTTGTCGAGTGAGATGCCTTCGGCTATAGAGCAGTAGCCGAGGGCTCTTCCACCCGATGGCACCCTGGTGCCGAGGGCTCACAGTGCCGAGGGCTACTGTTTTCGCCGTTTTCTCCCAGTTTCTTAATTTGCTTGAGAAACCCGTTCTGTGAGAATTTTGAGCCTTCGGCCAGGGGGCCGAAGGCACCCCTGTGCGTTGTGCGGACTGCTTGGTATTCTGGGCGCTGTGATTTGGGCCTGTTGGGCCTGCTGGGCCTTCGCTGGAGTAGTAGGAGTCTGTGGGCCGGGGGTTCCCGGGCCATATACTCCATCAGGAGTCCCTCACTCCTTTTGCCGAAAGGTACTTGAGGGAAAAGGAGTAACTTGTGCTTTTGATGTTGTCCCATCGTGATTCCTGAAGTTGGTGAGGAGTTGTTGCTTTTATGTCCCTGCCGAAGGCAGTCCCTCAGTTACCCACATGTCGGGACTTGAGGGCTTGCTTTGTTGTTTGTTGGAATTTCACAGATTTTGTAATTTAATGATTTTCCCGAAGGGGTCCTCCAGTCCCCCACTCCTTGAGGCACTTGTAAAGTGGTGAAAAGGAGTAAAGTAGTTACGTTGCTGTTGTGGGCCGAAGGCTGACGCTTTTCGTTTCATTTTGGGGGGATGCCTCGTTAAAAACCTCATTAGGAAAAACCCTTTGGGAAAAAATCCTAATGAGGGAAAAAGAGTGCACCGAATTCCCCCAATGATGAATCGAAAATGTCAAACCTTGGTGAAAAATGGAGAATGATGGGAATGCCGAAGGCTCTCTCTTCTGAGGGCTCCTGTGTTGATTTGCCGAAGGCTTGCTGTTGATGTCCTGGTGGTGCCGAAGGGGAGCCCCTCAATCCAGGGATCGAGGGCCTGCCAGATGAGGGCAGCAGTGAAGTTGTTACCGGGGGGTCCACTGTTTGTTGATGAGTTGGTGATGAAGATACCCGAGGGCTCCCATTACCTGTGTGCCATGGGCCCTCCGTCAATGAGGCACTCCCCGGGGGCTACCCGGTTTTGCAGTGCTGAGGGGGAAACCCCGAGGGGTGCCCCTGATACGCAGCCCTGGGGATCTGAAGGAGTGATCCCGAAGGCGT